TATGCCAGGCATCAGCCACCAGGTGATCACTCACCGGCTGACCGTCGATCCGGTCTCCGCGCCTGTCAAACAGAAGCGGCGCTACTTGTCCGCCGACAGGCGGGACTTCGTCAAAGGGGAGGTCGCCATGCTCCTCTCAATCAAACACATTAAAGAGGTGAAGTACCCGACATGGTTGGCCAACGTCGTCCTCGCCCAGAAACCGCCAACGTTCAGAATGTGTGTTGATTACACTGACCTGAACAAGGCGTGCCCCATGGACCCGTTCCCTCTCCCCAACATTGATCAGCAGGTGGACGAGACGACGGAGTGCGAGTTGATGTCGTTCCTCGACGCTTTCAGAGGGTACCACCAAATCTCCATGCATGAAGATGACGCTGAGAAGACGGCATTCATGACCCCAGAGGGAATCTTTTGCTACCTCATCATGGCCTTCAGACTCAAAAACTCCGGCGCCACCTATACTAGGATGGTGGCCAAGATCTTCAGGGCGGTCCTTGGCCGGACGATGGAGGCATACGTCGACGATATGATCATCAAGAGCAGACAGGCCTCCTCCCACGCCGATGACCTCCGGGAAATCTTTGAAATTATGAAGGAGTTCAGGCTCCGCCTCAACCCCAAGAAGTGCGCCTTCGGCGTCCAGGGCAGCAAGTTCCTCTGCTACATGGTCAGCCGGAGAGGCATTGAGATAAACCCGGAGAAGACACAGGCTATCATCAACATGGAGCCGCCCCGCAACGTCAAGGAAGTACAGTGACTGACGGGGCGCCTGGCGGCCCTGAACCATTTTCTCTCCAGGTCAGCCGAAAGGGCACTCCCCTTCTTTCAGATCATGCGTAAGGCAAATAGCTTCAAGTGGACGACGGAGTGCCAGGAAGCATTCGACGAATTGAAGAGGTACCTATCGTCCCCGCCCGTGCTATCCAAGCCCAAAGCCGGCGAAACCCTCTTCTTGTACTTAGGGGTGAGCACGTCGGCCATCAGCTCCGTGCTCATCCGTGAGGACGAAGGGGTGCAAAAGGCCATCTTCTACATCAGCAAGACACTCAGGGAGGCCGAGCTCAGGTACTCCCCCATTGAGAAGACGGTGCTGACCATCGTCCATACGGTGAAGAAGCTGGGACACTACTTCCAGGCCCATGCCGTCCATGTGCTGACCCAGCAGCCTCTCGGTGCACTCATGAGGAGCCCCACCAGCTCCTCTACGATGGTGAAATGGGCAATCTTCCTCAGCCAATTTCAAATTGAGATCAAGCCAAGGCCATCTATCAAAGGACAAGCCTTGGCCGACTTCGTCACTGAATGCACAGCAAGGGAGACGGCCGTCGCCAACCCTGGACCGGAGCCGGACGATACATGGATCCTATTCACTGACGGCTCGTCGGTCGCAAAATCATGCGGTGGCGGCGTCGTCCTCATATCCCCTGAAGGATTCAGGGCTTACTATGCCATCCGCTTCAACTTCAGGGTATCCAACAACGAAGCCGAGTATGAGGCCCTCCTCAGCGGTCTTAGACTCGCCGCCGGCCTCAAGGCCAAGCACCTCAAAATCAAGTGCGACTCCAAACTGGTGGTGGGCCAGGTGGAGGGATCGTACGAAGCAAAGGAAGGCCGGATGAAGCAGTACAAACAAGCAGCGGAGGAGCTGCTGAAGGCGTTCGAAACCCACGAGATCACACAGATCCCAAGGGCCGAGAACGCCGAGGCCGACATCCTCTCCAAACTCAGCTCGGACACCCCGGAGCACATCTCCCAGCTGGCCAAGATCGAGGAGTTGAGCATGTCCAGCATCCATGCCAGCCCCGTCTTGTGCGTCCAACAACGACCAGAGGACTGGATCTCCGACATCGTCACCTTCATCGCAACGGGGGAGCTGCCCCCGGACGAGGAGAGGGCCAAACTTGCCAAACTCAGGGCCCCAAGCTACACCATTGAAGATGGCAAACTCTACAAACGATCCTATAATGGCACTCTCCTTCGATGCCTCCACCAGGATGAGGCCGACGTGGCCATGGAAGAAGTTCATTGTGGTGTTTGCTCCTCGCACCAGGGCCCTTTCAGCATGTCCCGGCGTCTCGTCGTCCAGGGCTTCTTCTGGCCGACGATGGAACGAGACTGCGCTGACCTGGCCAGGAAGTGTACCACATGCCAGGTACTCCAGAAGGCCCCTGATCGGCCAGCCGTCAACTACACCCCCGTCAGCACTGCAATTCCATTCTCTAGATGGGGGATTGACCTGGTCGGCCCCTTGCCCAGAGCCGCCGGGAACAACCGCTACATCATCGAAGCCGTCGACTACTTCACCAAGTGGGTCGAGGCGGAACCCCTGGCCAGCATCACGGGGGCCAGATGCCAAAAATTTGTTTACAAAAACATCATCACACGCTTCGGCGTCCCCCAGGAGATCATATCAGACAACGGCACCCAATTTGAGGCAGCCCCTTTTCAGGAGCTCCTCCGGGAGTTTGGGTTGAAGCATCGTTTCTCCTCCGTTGCCTACCCTCAGGGCAACGGGCAGGTCGAGAACGCCAACAGGACAATCATGGAGGGGCTGAAAAAGAAACTCCAGGCCGCAGGGGGTAGTTGGGTCGACGAGCTCCCCAACATCCTGTGGTGCTACAAAACCACACCGAGGAGGGCGACAGGTGAAACGCCTTTCGCCCTGTGTTACGGCTTTGAGGCAAAGGCACCCACGGAAGTTGCCATCCCCAGCCGGCGGGTGGAACAATACGAGCCTGACGCCAACGAAGAGAACATGAAGATTGACCTGCATCTGGTCGACGAGAGGCGTGAGCAAGCTTACGTCCGAGCGGAGAACTACCGACGCCAAGTGAAATCATACTATGACGCCAAGGTACGTTCCCGGGAATTTCAAGTAGGGGACTACGTCCTCCGTCGAAGGGAGCAAGCCAGCCAACAGAGGGTGGCAAGCTAGCATTGAAGTACGAAGGGCCCTACATCGTCAGTACCGTGGTCAAACCCGGCACCTACAAGCTTAAACGCCCGAATGGGTCCAATGTACCACGAACGTGGAATGTACACCATCTGGTGAAGTTTTATCAGTAATCCGAAGGAGGTGCAGACGACGAAGCCCTCACCCCTTAACGGGTTACTGATTGAACGCCACCCTCGGCCTCGAGCCACTTATGAATAAAATCATGTTCCTCTTGATTTTTTCTCTGGAATTTAGTGTAAAAAATTAGCAGGTGCCCTCATCGGCCACCTTAGAGCGAAAGGCTCAGGCATGGCCGACGTGGCACCTTGCATTTGCAGCCTACGATCGACAAGATCAGGCGCTCCATTGTATTTTGTATCAGCGAAGGGCTAAGGCCTAGCTGAGAGAGCACATCGTCCTGGCCCCGAAAGCCTAGAAGTGAAACGCTCAGGTATGGCCGACGATGTCCCCAGGACGAGGGGCCCGCAAACGGCCCGCGTCTTGAAACGGGAAGCTCACCGCTTCGTCCACGCGCCAGATCGCAGGACGACAGGCCTGAAATCATGGCCGAGGTGACAAAATCCCAAAACTCAGGGATGGGCAACGACAGCCGTTGGAAACCGACCAAAAGTCTAGCCCGCGTCATAAATAGGCGACGGGACCCGCCCTGAGACCACGGACGTTATAGACGAAGTCCGAACCGACCGAAGGACGAGCACACCCTTCGGCCAAAGCCTGAAAGAAGGACACTCCCCTGAAATAGGGAACAAAAAAAAAGAGGGAAGCCGAGGAGCGCGCGCCCTTGCCGGCCTCGAGCAATGGAAAAATAAAATCCCCACAATCCCGGCCAAACTTGGCTAAGTACATATCAGTTGAACACAAATGTAGTACCACTAATAGGTGACATGGACGATACAGCCACACGTCCACCACAGACAAGGGCATCGTCAAGGACGAAGCACACGCCTATAAAACCCTAACCAGTGGTTGGGTGACACGTGAGTGGCAACTTTCATCGGCCACAGCTTTTGAAGCATCAACACTTGGTAAAAAAGAAAAAAGAGAAAAAGAATTACAATCCTGAAAGATGACCAGGACGAAGCGGGCAGTATCACATCCGCGTAAGAATCAAGCAATCAAGAAACAATCCCTACTGGCCACAGCATCCCGGATGGCCGATACAGGCACTGAAACCCAGGCTGTTGGTCAAGCGAAAGTTCTTTGGGGATTTGTTCAAATGTTTACCAAACACTTAGAGAAAATTCTGAGGAAAAAGGTTCCTCAAGAAGGAACTATGTCTTAGCCGATGAAGGTAGGGCCATCTCTTTGGGAAAGCAAGGGGCACCCTCATCGGCCACAAAGCCAGACCTTGGCCGATGAAGATAAGGCCATCTCTTAGCCGGCAGCGGTACCGCAAAGAAGGAACTATGTCTTGCATTTATACTTAGAAAAATCTCTAAGTACTTAAATGGAGAAACTCTAGACGAAGCGGGTACCTGTATACTCGAAGGCCGTTAGATACCTACGCCTTGCATGTGTACTTAGAAAAAATTCCAAGTTCAAAAAACTAAGTTCAAAGTGCCCTTATCGGCCACAACACAAGGATCCAGGCCGACCTTCCTGATCAGATCAGAAACAAGGGAACACGACGGCCACAAAATCATTGGTCAACACTGAGAGAGATTCAGTACCAGGACGATGAGAACACCCATCCACTTGAAGGTAGACACTTAGAAAAATTCTAACAAAAAAGAAGAATGGGACAACGCCAGGACGCAGCGAACACCTCATCTTGCCCGCCTCAGTCAGGACGGAAAGAAAGACACTAAGGCATATCCTATCTAAGTGGATCCAAAACACTTAGGAAATTTTTGAACAAATCCCAAGTGTTACGACAGCAAAGAAACACCGGCCAGGCCGACCAGGCCACCAGACCGGATGGACTACCTCACGGACGTAGCAAACACTCGCGGGTGACCTAGGTTGTAACTCTTACACTTAGACAAATTTCAGAATTGAAATGGCAAAAGGCAATAAACATACAAGAAATTCAAAGCCGAGCAGGACATCAAAATTTTCATTCATAAGCAATTCAGTACAATGGTGGGCGCTTCGGCCATTACATCAAGTGGGCAAAAATAGAAAATTAATTACAAGGGAGCGGGGAGTAGCCGATCAAGCCTCTTGGGCGCCTCCATCCTCGGCTGGCTCTTCGACATCTTCGGCTCCCTCCTCGGTCTCAGTCTCCTGGTCAGCGGCAGCCGCAGAACTGGTGGCATCGTCCAGGAAGTCAAACTCCGTGTAATCCGGCTCGCCGAGGCCGGAACTCTCGATTGGGGATTCCCGCTCCGCAAGAGGAAGCTTGGCCTGCTCCTCGGGATCTTTCATCAGCTTGGGAAGCTTCAAGTTCCGCCTAGCCCACCCGGAGGTATAATTCATGGCTTTGAGGGCACGCGATAGCCGCCGACACAGGAGCCTCTGCATCCGCTCTTGGCCCATGTTATAGTACACGACCATCTCCCTGCTAAAATACTCCTGGCCGGCGGGGGAGTTCATTCCCCATTGGCCTTCCACCCCTCGGCCAAGAACTGCTTAACGACCTCATCAGCAGCCTTCACAGCGGCAGCCTCGGCCTCAGCTTTTGCCTTCACGGCTTCATCGTTTTTGCGCCGTTCGGCCTCAAGCGCCCTCTGGCTCTCCTCGAGTTTGGCCAGGGCATCGTCCCTGGCTGCAGCGGCCTCGTCGGCCCTCTGTTGCAAGGCCTTGGCATCCTCCCGGAGCCGATCCAAGCAGGCTACCGCCTCATCGGCCGAGGCAGCCTTCTGCTCCAGCTCTTTCAGACGAGCAATCTCCCGGTGCTGCCTCTTGTGGCTCTCCATAAGCATGAAGGCACCCTGCACAAAAAAGGCAAACAAAACTCAGGCAAATGATTCCACCCGGACGACGAGAAAAACGACAAATAAAAAGGCAGAAAACTTACTTGGACGAGGAGGTCCATCCCGCCTTCGTACACCTTGACGTCCCCGAGCCTCTTGAGGTAGGCCCTATCTTTGGCCGGCATGGCCTGGGCCAGGACATCGTGGCCGAGGACGACATCATCAAAAACACCCCCGCCGACGGGGTATTCCACCATCTTCTGGTAGGTGGCAGCGGCAATCTCCTTACCGGCCCTCTTCGTCCGTGGCTCCTGGACGAGAGGGAGCGATTGGACAGCATCGCTTGGAGCAGCAGTGAGGTCCACAACGGGACCACTATCGTCCACACTTGGGACGGTCAGAGTGTCGGCCTCAGTAGCATGGGAAGGAGACGGTGCCCTCTTCGTCTTCTTAGTGACGTTCAGGCCGGCCTCGGTCAATTTCTTCTGCCCGTCAGTAGGAGGCCTCTTCTTCTTGGACTGGGCAGGCTTCGGGGCCGCACCAGCAGTAGCCCCGCCCCCCTCGGCCGTGGCACGTCTGGCCGCCTCGGCCGCCTTTGCAGCCAACTCCTCGGCCGCCTTTGTAGCCAACTCCTCGGCCGCCTTGGCCTTGGCAATAGCCATGATTGAATGGCGATCCATGGCAAAATCTACACAAAGGAAAACGAACAGATTAGCAAGGCAAAAGAACGAATAACAAAGGAAAAAAGCCGAAAAAATAATTACCATCGGCCTCAGCAGGAATGCCCAAATCCGGGCCGTCGGCCTCTTCGAAGGTGGTGGTCATCCTCGGCCAGAGTTGGATATCGTCCTCCTTGACGCCATACACATGGTATCTTAAGAAGCCGAGGGCGGTCATCTTGTATTCGGTGATGTAGTCTTTCACGCTCCTCGGCCCCCCTTCCAAGAACGCCTCCACCTGAGCGTCCAAGATAGAACTCCTCGGCGGGTCATGCAGATTGAACCTCCCGGTATGGCCGAGAGAGGGAAACTCGGTGCCATTCTCACCAAGGGATACAAAAACGAACTTGCTCTTCCACCCATGAATGGACGAAGGCAAGTCCGTGAAGCTCCTCTTCTTCGGCAGTTGTTGGAGAGTAGCATAGGCCGCACAGTTTTTGTGGCTTCCTCGGCCTATCTGATACAGATTCATGAACAGAGCCGTCGTCGGCCTGTAGCCCAGCTCCTCACAGCGGAGCAAAAACCCCACCATCAATGAGTAGCTGTTCGGCGTCAGCAAGGCCGGAGGGAGCCCCACCATGTCAAGATATTCGGTGATGAAGGGATGAAGGGGAAACCTCAGCCCCTTGACGAAACTCATCGGGTATACTCCAAAGTATCCCGGTGGCGGATGAAGTACATGGTCCGTCGGCCTGGGTGCCCTAACCCGCCCGTACGGCCCCACGTACATCTGGGCAACCAAGTAGTCAGCCGCGCTGCTCTCCGGCTTGATCAAGAAGATATTTGTGAGATCCAGGTAGGAGACGCCCGGCCCGCTCTTCGGCCTCCTTATTCTCTTCGGCTTATCTGCTCCCTTCACGGTAGACACCGGTCTCGGGCATGGGATAACAGCGGAAGTGGACGCCCCGTCCACCACTCGGGACGCACCTGCGTCCTCACCTTTTGAAGACGAGGCGGACTCCTCGTCCTCACCTTCGTCGTCCACCGGCTCTCCGGACTTGTAAGGACTCAAATGCTGTATCTCCTCCTCGAACTCCTCAAGCACCTCATAATCGAGTGACCTAGTGGAGGGCTGGTCGTCGTACGGATAGTACTCTTCGTCTAGGCTCTTCATCATAACAACTACTACGAGTCTAAGAGGAATAACTTAGGATCTAAGGGTGTTCAAGCGCCTAACACTAGATCACTAGCCTAGGAAGCAAAGTATGCAAAGTACAGAAGATTGCGATGAACACTAACCTTGAACACGAAGAACACGAAGAACACGAGCTTGGGAGTTTATCTCTCTAGAAATTTGGCCAGCACTTCGACAACTCAGATTGCAAATGAGATTTCTGGTCGGAGGGGGAGGGGTATTTATAGAACCCCCCACCCAACGGTCACTACACGTGGCACCCTCCCAATGGCCACATCAACGGCCGCCAATGGGAGGCCACCACGTCACCAATGGGCCAAGCCCAACCTACATATCAAGAGCCCACCGGCAAATCAGACTCTACGGCCTATACGCTTGCCGGCTTCACAAGTGCCAGCAAGCGCCCACTACGGCCTATTAGCTTGCCAAGATCACAAATGCCAACAATGAGGGGATGACAACGGCTAGGAACGGCCACAGAACCAGAGGAACAAAGAACCCACAACCATCGGCTTCTCGTAACGACCCTTGATGATAACTCTTTACAAGCGATCTGCGCACAAGGGTTCTCCCACAGGGTTACCTTGGCCAGAAAATCGCCATGAGGGTTGGATTCAGGGGCACTACGGAGAGGCCGCTTCGGCCAGGGACTCAAGCAACTCCTTCACCCCTCACTCTCTTCGGCCTGAAGCAGTGGGGGACTGGGGGACTACATCGGCCTCAACAAAACAAGAGGAAAAATACAAACATGAATGTAATCACAAAGCATGGTCACATCGTCCATGTATCACAACGGCGCCTCGTCGGCCAAAGGCACATAACATCATCAGCAACGGCCAACAGGCCACCTAAGGCAAGGACATTCATCGTCCTCTGCCAACAGTTAACCATAATGGGCTCTTCGGCCAGGGACACGAAAGCCAGTCAGCGACGGCCAAAAAGAGTGCGCAAGCACCCTTACCGGCCACCCAAAGGAAAGGACACCATCGTCCTCAAAGCAAGGTTCAACCTCAACAGCCTCATCGGCCCAAATGCAAACCTCACCCATCAACGTCCAAGAAAGGGAAAACGTGCCTTCAACGGCCAACATCGAAGCAGGACACTCATCGTCCCCAAACGAACACATCAAGGAAACAACGGCCTCCCCGTCCACAGCGAGGAGCAGGTAACGGTCAAAGCACAGAACAGGATCACCAAAATGGAAACAGCGCCAACGCCGCAATAGCTAATGGCCTGGGAATGCCCGCATCGGCCAAAAGCACCAAAGCACGGGAATCTACTCTCCTTCACTTCGTCTACGTCTCAGTTTAGAGAGTGGGGGACTCCTGATGGAGTATATGGGTCTGAGCCCCCGGACCCACATACTCAGAAGAACAGAAAGCACAAGACACAGGGTGGCGCCGTCGTCGGCCAAGGGACCCCTGTCGGTCGAAAAGGTGCCAACCCAGATTATGGTCCTGAGCCCAAGGAACCCGGGTGCCCTCGTCGGCCGCGCCCTCGTCGGCCGTGCCCTCGTCGGCCGCGCCCTCGTCGGCCGTGCCCTCGTCGGCCACGCCCTCGTCGGCCACGAAGACCTCACAGAACCGGATTCTACACTTACTCATTTGTACAGCCCATTAGTGGCTTTGTATTCGGCCCAGTAGCGGTCCAGTTGTAAATGGGCCTCCCAAGCCCAAGGCTTGAGAGCCCAGCCCGTATTTTCTCTATAAATACTCCCCTTGGGAGTAGTTATAGGGGTTACAAATTCATTCTATTGAAGCATATTATTGCACTTCTCTCTCTAGCTCTCACTTCTCTCTAGATATACAACATATATATATATATATATATATATATATATAGGGAAGAGTTCAAATAAAAAGACCTCTTCCCGTGCAAAGTGCGAAGAAATGCACTTTTGCATGTTTTGCTTACACTTTTGCGTGTTTCTGTTGCACTTTTTCGCGGTAACGAAAAAGTGCAACATATTTACAAAATTGCCACTGTAATTTTGATCGAATTTTGTGCATTTTTGACTCATTTTGAGCCATTAGATGTGGAAATGAATGCACAAAATTCATTCTCACTTTGCATGAGAAGAGGTCTTTGTATTTGAACCATCCCCTATATAGGGAAGGATATATATATATATATATATATATATATATATATATATATATATATATATATATATATATATATATATATATATATATATATATATATAGGGTCGGGTTCTAATGAGAAGACATCTTAACGTGAGAAGTGAGAAGTTACACATTTACCTATTTCTGATGCACCTTTTTGCTATTCTGATGCACTTTTTGCGATGGCAGGAAAGTTCCGATTAATTACGAAAATGCCACCGCGTCTAGCATCATTTTTTAAATATTTTTTGCACTTTTCCGTGCACTTTTTTGCTAATCTGATGCACAGATCTTAAAATGAACGCACCAGATGCATTCTCACTTCTTACGATAAGCACTCTTCTCATTTGATCCTTATATATATATATATATATATATATATATATATATATATATATATATATATATATATATATATATATATATATATATATATATATATATATATATATATATATATATATATATATAAGAAGTATGATCTATGAATGCCCATTAATTTGGATCCTCAATATCAGAAAATTATAGCTACACTTCATATAAAAAAATATTGAAGAAGATAGAAGAAAGAAATATATCTTTATAGTAATACAAGTGGTACGGCGCGCAATGCGCGAAGGGATGATGCCACAGTTATTGTGATAAGGGTAACCGGAGCAAGCTAATAAGGATTTCCCAAACACCCAATGAGAATATAAGAATATAATTTCAAATATTAATAACAAGAACTTATGCTTTTAATTGTCGATGGACTTTAATATGAGAAGATATAAATTTACATAGAATTGATTTTTTATAGGAGAAGATGTAAATTTACAAAAAATTCATTTTTTTTATCTTAATAGTATAATTCAATAATGTTTAATAACAAAAACTTGTGCTTTTACATTTATGATAATATAAAACAACAACAACAATAAGAAATAATAGTAATAATATTGATGATGATAATGATGATGATGATAATGATGATGATAATAATAATAAAATAGCAATAATATTGATCTATATCTTTATGATCTAAATCTATTTGATGTGATGTGATCCGATTTTTTTTTATCTGATCTAACAATATTTGTTTTTTTTTGTTTTTTTGATTTGATATGAACGAAATAAGAATAAACATAAGATGACACAACAACTGACACAACAACTCCTAACAAAGAGATGTAACCAATCGTTGTGGCCACAAGAGCGTAATAACAAAGGGGGCAGTTTCAAAGTAATCATTTTTGCAATTCATGCGAAAATTTTGTTGGGTATCCGTCATTTCATTCCAAAAAGAGAAGATGAAAATTTATCTTCTGTGTAACATATAAGTAACCTAGAGAAAAAAAATAAAATAAATGAAAACTCTAAATGGAAATAAAAGCAATGAAGTACATAGAATAATAAAAAAAAAACTAAAGGATAAAATGCTAAGTGGAAACTCTTAACGTTTTGAACTTAATTAACGGAGGTACGGAGCATAATATTATGATGAAGGGTGCAACAACTAAAACAATTCTACAAGTACATTCTGCATTAGCGTTAGAACAACATTTTTATCATTCCTAAAATGCCCTAACCATCTTTGATAAATTTTTATAAATTATTTGTGCTTTACAAACTTGTTACCTGAAATGTGCCCTAACAATAATTTACGGACATTTTTATAAATTTTTGATGTTAATGAAATGAAACCTACTCTTCTCGAATAAATCATTTGTGCTTTACAAACTTGTTACCTGTAGGATATTTTTCTTCATGGAGCTTCTAAAATACTCCGTAAATCTTGTACTATATAATCATATAACAATCGGACTCTAAAAGTAAAAAGAATAAAAATTAAATTAAGATGGAATGAGATTACTATACTTTTCGAGTAGTTTAGTTCTTTTCTTCAATTTTTTTTTCAGCAAGGTATTTTAGTGGCAGATTCAATAATACACTAGAATAAGCGAAAAAACATTACAAAGAAACTGTATAATCAAAGAAACAAGAGGTCACAACAAAAACAAATTTAGTTATAGGCAGCATACATACGTATATAGAGATTCTTTATCCCCAGTAGGAGGAATTATCATATGATGATGATGATGATTTCAGACCTTGGTTCCCGTAGCGGCTTGCTTGATTTGTTCAATGTTGAAAACCCCAAAGCATTCATCATCAGTGACGGCATTAACGGCTGCAGAAGCGACATCATCCACACTGATGGGAGGGGCTAGCAGCAGATCAGAGGTGGGAATGGAGCTCAGAGGTCTGGTATACTCCTCCATCATACTCAAGAACCTCTCCATCGGCTCCCCTATCAAATCCAATGGAATCTCAAACCCATTGGCTATCCTCCTTTTCCCATATATGAAGCCTGGTCTAAGGACCACACCTGAGTTTGGATATTTGGAGAGGACCTCTGCTTCAGCTTTCTTCTTTCCAGTGAAGTAACCCGATGTTTTTAAAAAGGATGGGAGATTATAATCATGGACTGAGATCAAGATGAACTTTGGAACCCCATAATCTTTAGCGGCATTAACAGCCACAACATTCGCTTCACCGTTAATCCGTAGCATCTGTTCCTCACTTCCAAAACCTCCAAGCACTGAAACAACTGCTGTTGCCCCACCGAGAAAATCATCCCAATTTGCATGGAAAACATCCCCTGAAATCCAAGTCACTTGATCTAGCCATGAACCGGAGTAAGACGGACGCCCTGATCTGCTCAGACTTATAACCTCAACGCCCTTTGACACTGCAGCTTTGCAAATTGCAGAACCAACAAAACCACTGCCTCCCAATACTACAATTCGTTCACTCTTCACATCAGCCATGATATCAATGGTCGCCGTGTTCAGATTGCCTTTGATGTCATGGCCTGAATAACTGCATCTGACACCAACCTTGCAAAAGCTAGGGTGAGAGTGGAGTGAAGAGCCTTTGCTGTGAGATGAAGGAAACAGAGACTTTCCGCAACCATGAAAATGAAGAAATGGAGCCTTTGAAATGGCGCAAACATGATAGAGTGATGTCATATTTGGCTTCCGCTTAGAATGGGTTCTTCAAGGGTGGATTTAGCTTTGGCATCCAAAGGCAAAATTTAATTAAATAATGTATATCACAACAAAAAAAGTCAAAATTTAACAAAATTTATTTTCAGTTATAAAATAACATCTACTACAACAAAAAATCAAAGACAAAAATAAATATTACAGGAATAAGAGTTTCTCTCAAAGTCAAATACAAAAAAAAACACCACAATTTTACAACTGTTTTCTACGGGTTTTCACGATTGCTATCGTTTGATAATGACATCATCATCAAGTTTTAAGATAGTATTTTTCTACATAAACAATAAGTTTATAGCCAGTCATCACTCATCAATAATTAGATTAATAGTAACAATTCACAGTCAAATTCATTCTAATATAATGATGCTCACAAATGAAATATTAGAACTTGCAAATCACAAATCACATTCATAATTAAAGCCCACCCTGAAAATACTAATTAATAGAAATCCTAAATTCTGGAAATAAAGCTGAACTTTAGTACTCCTTCCTCTTTAAATTATTTAGCTTTCTATTGTGCGGCGAAAATTGTATAGAGGACAGAAAAATGTGAAAGAATACCTAAGAAATATTGTCAACAAATTCTTTACAAAAACGGAAAGGAAAGGCAAACAGAAATTTTGGATGAAATTCATAGACCGAAAGGAGTATCTAAACAGCTAAACTGAATATAAAAAATACATTACAGTAAAACTAAACAATTAAAACCTTACCGGTAAAGAGCAGAAATGGAGCAGTCGTGCATCGATGGCTAGAGGTTGTCACGTAGCACTAGTAGGCAGCGGCTAGAGGGCTAGAGGCTAAGGGGTGCTCAGCCACCGTGCGCAACCGTCCGACGGCCGACCAGCGACCAGTCACGCAGGGCGCAGTTTAATGCCGATTACCGATTCTGGTGAAGGGAGACTGGACACGCGACCGGTGCCGA